TGGTTGTTGATTCTCACACACTGGTTTCCAGTGGAGGCTGCCAGCCATTTGATCAGACTGGTTTTCCCAACCGAGGTCTCTCCCTGGATGAGTACGGGATGTGTCCTAAAAGAGGCATTAAGAAAAGAGTAGAAAATGTAACATCGGAGGTCTTAGCAGAACTTTCTATCTCAGCTCTAGCAAACACCTCACTTACAGTTTAAGCAGTAAAGAAAGTTTTCATAGTACTTGTACTAATGTACTTTATACAAAGGCAGGAATATTATTTTTCTTCCTGAATAATCACTCGGTTGTACTACAAGTAAAAGGACCCTACGATGACCAAGAGCAGCAGTGAACACAATAAACATCAGGTTCCCAGCATGTGTGAAACCCAGCAGATGACTCAAAGGACACCCAATAAAGACAAAACCCTATCCAGATATGGGCACCCTCGATATTTTGTGCATACAGTATAACAGGAAACCTTTTCATACCATTGTGTCTCAATCACTTCATTCCAAAAAAAGAAAAATAAGATGAAAGCAACTGTAATTGAGATCTGTAACAAACTTGGGATTCATGTTTCAGCTGCTCCACTGCATGGTACAGCACAGGAAAAAGTGCTTTCTGTGGTTCCCTCAACCACGGTACAAAATATTCTATTTATTTTCTGCCAAAAAATGTCATTGCCTGCCCAGCAGAAATCTTGTCAGAAAAGAAAACTATGGTATAGAGAATTATCTACAAGCCCTTTCCACCACTCTTATATTTTATTACTCTTTCTAAAAGGAAAAAAAAAAGCCTAGATTGAGTCGAAATGTGCTGAAATATTTTACACTTTATACCTGCTTGCTTTCTTACTAAGGTACCAAAGCAAATATAAATACCCAGCATTCAATTTGTTCGAGAAAGCGATTTAGCTTTCTCTAGTACTGTGACTAGAGAAAAACTTACAATTACAAGATTTGAATTCTTCATCAACAAGATAATATATAGATATTCATGCCCTTATATGAAAGTAAGTAAAATGTGTGCAGTTCAGTATCCTACCCAGCAGAAACGACTCTGGCCAAATCTCTAAGGTTTAGCTTCACAGTGGGGGTGAGAGTGTAGCTGCTGTCAATCACAAGCTCCATGTCCCCCTTGGAAATCCAATAGCCTTCCACCTGGACACAGTTTTTCTTGGGAGGCTCTGGAATGGGCTAAAAAGAAAATCCGAAAATCCGAAGAGCAGTTAATCATGTGCACAGCGACTCACTATGACCCGTGATGATACGATTGACTGAGAGCCGCTGTTGATTTTTCCTGCCTACCTGTTTCAGACACTTGGTGTTGCCTCCAAGGACATGCTGACAGATCAGTTTCTGGACGAGGGGATGGGAAGCTCTGTCCAGCTGCGTCAAGAAGCTCAAGCAAAATCCCTGAAAAAAATAAAGGTTCTACATGTTCTGTTTCTTAACAAATACTCTAAAACCTCTTTAATTCCTTTGGTGTGGGTTTCTTGAATAATTTCTTAGCGTTTTCCATCTAACTGCAGTAATAATATTATAATAATACTTCCACTTATATAGCGCTTTTCTGGACACTCCACTCAAAGTGCTTCACAAGTAATGGGGACTC